GGGTTTTGAACATCTCCAGAGAAGGAGACTCCATAACCTCTCTGGGCAGCCTGTTCCAGTGTTCTGTTACCCTTACTGTGAAGAAGTTCTTCCTCATGTTTAAGCGGAACCTCCTATGTTCCAGCTTATATCCATTTCCCCTTGTCCTATCATTGGATGCCACTGAGAAGAGCCTGGCTCCATCCTCATGACAGTCACCCTTTACATATTTATAAACATGAATGAGGTCCCCCTCAGTCTCCTCTTCTCCAAGCTAAAGAGACCCAGCTCCCTCAGCCCTTCCTCATAAGGGAGATGCTCCACTCCCTTCATCATCTTTGTGGCCCTGCACTGGACTCTCTCAAGCAGTTCCTTGTCCTTCTTGAACTGAGGAGCCCAGAACTGGACACAATATTCCAGATGCGGCCTCACCAGGGCAGAGTAGAGGGGGAGGAGAACCTCTCTCGACCTACTAACCATACACACCCCTTCTAATAGACCCCAGGATGCCATTGGCCTTCTTGGCCACGAGGGCACATTGCTGGCTTATGGTCATCCTGCTGTCCACCAGGACCCCCAGGTCCCTTTCTCCTGTGCACTTTTTGTGAGAAAAAAACCCACTCTTTTGTGAGATTTTTTTACCCACCTTTCTCCCATCAGAACACACATCTTCTTCAGCAGGCACGTCGGGCTCTTCTCTGACTTTCTTTTCCTCTTCTTCTGGTTTTTCTACACTGCCTTTTGAATGCTGAGTTAACTCTTTGCTATCCAAGACTTCCAATTTCGGCACACTCTGACAGCGCAGCCAAAGTGGAGACACATGGTCATAATGAGTATGCAATATACGAACAGCAACACTGCTCACAGCCAGCGACTTTGGAAGATCAAATCCATGCTGTGCATCACAAAACACGTGGTTTTTGAACCTGTAAACAATAGTTAAAAAATAACGTTCCCTATTAAGATTGGCAGCACTTACTTTTGTATTTCTTCATAAGCATTCAAATTGATGTTCTACACTGAAAGGCACCTCAATTCTCTTTTGTCGCATGGCACAGCCTAAGAAATAGAGTGGGATGCCACAATACACTTCCTGTCCTGTCGTGACAGTGGTCTGTAAGCCCCTCCAGAAAAGCTGTAACTGCATTAAGGGGATCAGCAGCTGCAAAAATAACAGTCCTGACAGGAAGACAATGAGGCGGAATCAGACGGCAGTTGTCCTACACAGTACTTTCCTGGCAAAACTGACTAACTTAATGGGCAAATCCTACATAGGTGAAGTCATCAGCTGTCTATGTTACATCAGTCGCAGCATCTTCCACGTAATTTTGATAATCAACAGTATCACACAGTCACTGATCCTTGTGACAATGTAGGAAACTGTCTGAAAGCAGCACAGGAGCTCAACTTGCACCAAATCCAGTACCTAACTCATGAACTTGGGTGCTTTCATTAGATACAGGAGTTTCTTGCTCATTGCAATTCCTGCCCAACCAAAACCAGAGCAATCCAAATAATACTTATTTTTGGATGAAATCAGCTGGTCACAAGTTCTAAAAATCTTCTAGTAAAGCATAATTTATTTTTTAATTCCTGGTTGAAAAGTTAAAGTGCACCTCTAGGCTGACCAAAATGCTCTAACACAGGCTCTTCCTGCAGGTCGGTCTGACATTGCTCAGGACCCAGCCTTCTCATCATCTTAGCAAAGTTTACAGCAACAGGTCCTTAGTCAAGGCAAAGTCCTTTTACCAATTTATTCCTCATATTTGCAGAGTGGGAGCAGGAAGCCCACTTAAAACTCTTGTTTTGAAAAATACATCAGTCAAATGGTAATCTAATGAAAAAAATCTTCGATTCAGAACCAACAATGGCAGGTATTTCCATCCCAGACTCTAGAATCTTTTATCTAACAGAGAACTGAGCACGAAGCATCATTCATCCCTTTGCAAGGAACTGTAACAGCTTAGGAACTATTTAATGCATTGGCAAGAAACCTTACTTCCAGAGGAGTTTCAATTGTCTTCATGAGATTTATTGGTTTCCTTTCAAAATTGTTCTGGCAGCAACAGGGTTCTACTGTAGCACTTTAAGAAATAAATTTTATATTTATTTATATGTAGATACATATATAAACCACTCCTGTTTCTTTAATAAAACGCTGACCTAACCAGCACCTTCCTTAGCAAGAGGGTGGTATGAAATCCCTCAGCTGGGAGTCTGTAGAATAAATGCTATTCAACACAAAAAAGATTATGAGAAACTGGCTCTTGGTGTTTACTCAGCTTGGGTAGACAAGGCCAGGCCTCATTTCAAAATAACAATTTCAGGATGCTCTACCTTACTTTCTTCTTCAGATTGGCCCAAATACAGAAAGTAACATTTTTATCCTTTATGACTGCATGCATATTTCCAGTGTCAGGATCTTCGTATCTATTAGCTGCCTACAAAGAAAAAAGCAGATTTAATCATGTTTTCCTCTTATCTGTATCACTTGGATTTTCTTACATTTAACTTGAACAAATAAAAAAAAAAGACACATAGGAATAAAAATACAAGCTCAGGCATGTTGTATTTATGTACTAAAACATGACAGTTATAAACTCAAATCTCTTCATTAAAATTTGAACTATGTTCTTTTTCTTCCTCTGACTTCATCAATCCTGCCCATCAAATACCGCCGGATATGGGATCTTACGTTACCCCCTTCAATGTATTGCCTATTCCTCCCTTAATCATTTGCCCTCAAAAATACTTCTCAGGACAACTTAAAAAAAAAAAAAGGACTTGCTGAGCAACAAAGCACTCCTATTCCAGTCACTGCACAGATTATTTTATATTTTTGTCAACAAAAAACTTGTGAAATTTTAATTACATTAGGAGTTTAATCTCAGTAAAGACAATCAAGAATCTAACATTGCTTAATTTGCAGAGGGTTTTGATTGTGAACATACAACTGGTCATCATTACCTTTATTCCTTTACCTTTTTTTGTCTCCTCTAGCAATATTCTTTTGCTAAACATACTTACATATATGATTGATATACTTAAAATAGCAAGCAGGATCACTACCTGTACATGCAACCCAGAAAACGGATTCCAAGTACACCTGATCTAATGGAAGGTGTCCCTGCCCATGGCAGGGGGGTTGGAACGAGATGATCTTTAATGTTCCTTCCAACTCTAACCATTCTATGACTCTATGGTTCTATGATTTTCATTTTCTTGTTTAAATACTCTTTACTCTTCCCAAGATCTCAGTTTAAAAAATATTTTAGTCATATGTGTCACGTTTTGAGGTCAAAACGACCAGTCTATCAGCTCCCAAGTCAG